AAATGGGATGATAAAAGCATGCAGGCTTTCTATCTCTTCTCTATTTTCTCTTTCCTCTGCGTCTTTATTTTCACTCTCTGACTGTCATTCAGCCTAACTTTATCTCTCTCTGCCCTCCGTCTTTCTCTCTGTCAGGCAGACCATGACTATGCCGAAATGTGATTTGACTCTTTAATCTTCATAATCCATTTGGCCAAAGAATGTTTTCCTTTACTAATTAAACACCAAACAATGGACAATGTGTGTCGTACAGATGAGGACACACACTCACAGAGAGAATCTGTCAATAAATGGAATAAGAGATGAAATGAATGAGAGAGAAGATGGGAGGAGAGAAATAATGGGGAGTGTAAATATGGTTTTTAGTATTTCAACTTTCAGTGCAGACACATGACAGCAGAAAAACAAATCTTTGGAAGAACGAAAAAATTATAAAACAACAAAGCTCTCATTTCTACTCCAATAATGTCTCCCTTTTATTCTTTATCTTTCTTTCTATTTTTCTGTCTCTTTCTGTCTTCTCCTCTTTGTTGCGCTTAGAATGGGAGGGATCAAAAGTTGCTAAGGCAACAAACAGAGAAACAATAAAAAAAAATAAAACCCTGTCATCCTTACAAAGACCAAGGAATCCTGGCATTCTTCAGCAGAACGGAGAGAAAAGGGAGGCAGAGAAACAGAGGAGCGAAGAGGGGGGTTGAAAGTGTTTATCTGCCCATTAGCAGGCTGCTATTTGAACTTGAAGGGATGTGTGACGTGTAGAGGAGAAGACATCAGAGAATGCAATGCAACTGCCGGGAGTGAAAACTGTCCTGAAATGCACAGTACATATATGCCTTCTGCCTAATTTTATAGGAAGCTTAAAGGGTCTTTTTTTACAGTAGTATACTTTCTACACTGGCTCCAGTTTAGACTGTAAACAGAAACAGGGAAACTGATGTCCTTAGAAATGCTGCAATAGACAGTATACAACCAAAGGGATAACACAGATGGATCAATAATAAAAAATAAATAGGGAACTATTCCATCGTAGAGAAATGGACAAAATGAATAATGAATTATGGGTCTGAGTGTCAAAAGAAGTATAAATACAGTAAATTCACAAATGTTAATAAAAATGTTATTAATAGTTTAATCAACCAAAACAAAATGTCAAAATGTTTAAACTATAATATGAACACTAAAACCTCCTCTCTTAGGCCAACATATTGTATAACACTTTAGAAGATCACACAGAAACATAGGATGTAATTAAGTTCAATTTAAGGCCAGTTATAGAATAACTCACATATTTTCTGTCTGAGGCATAACTAAAATGTAATATTTAACAGCATTTAACAACACATGCATCAAAAATAGACCAATTCAGACCTGGAGCAGCTTTGAAACAAATAGAACTAGACACTGTTTGAAATCCAACTTCTCTTTAAAATGTGAAATTACTAATAAACAGAATTCAGGAGGTGGAGAGAATAACTTCCAGAGAAATCAGGAATCTGAATAACGAGAGACGATGGAGTGAATGGTTTCTTTATGAGGGCTACAATTAAATAATAGCCACCAGACTTATAGGATATATTATATAGGAATGACGTAATGAGGTACAGCCTTGAGAAGAAGTAGAAGTAGTGGGTGTGAGCAATCACATCAACAAGCTGGTCATTTACTTTACTGCAAGATTTATTACCAGAGGCTGTTTTTGACCGTATTCAAAGGTTTTAGGGTGGATATTTTCTAGTACCAACTCTGCTGCATAAATATGCCCAGCAGGAAGCCGTATGCATACTAACCAACCAGAATGCATGCTGTGTTTGTGACAAATACGAACCCTCCACTTTAAAATTTTAACACGCAAGATTCATCCAAAGCAGCATGCAAACGGTTTATAATACGTTTCTCATATATGTATTTTACTACTGTATGATTAGTTTAGTGTACCGTTATCCATGATGCCATTATATACTAGTGTCTGCTCAGGCACATCTGGCAAACAACACATGCTTAGACTTTCAACACACTGACATTGAGGAATAAAATCCAAGCTGTTGTCTGAAACCAGTTTAATCTCAATATAACGATAAACAGTTTATTAAACAGTGTGCTGATAAGCAGGAAGGGCACAATGTGCTTGCAAGCATTGTTTGGAGAATGCGAAAGATGCTTAAGTGTGTGTGTGTGTGCGTGGGTACGTGTGCGCGCACGTGTACATGTGTGTAAGGGTGTAAGAGGAAGAGAAGACATGACACTCATTAAATGAGCAACAAACAAGATCGTGAGGAAACTGTAAACACACACGCATGCACCTACAGCAGCAAGCGAGCTCAAACAGGTACAAAAACATGACTGCATCTGTCCCATCCTATCATGTATGTATGTGCACGAAAAAGACACACACTTGAACGCACACATCGCCCTTACACACACGTACAGTGCACAGCTCTTGGGGATTGGAGTTCAAAGGATGTTTTATTTTGGGAACAGCTTTGGGTTAGTCACCCTACTTTGGTGACAGACGGAGAAACAGGTTGCAAATATCAAACACTTTACAAGCACTGTGACACGCGCAAACACCCACACACACACACACACACAACTCTCCCTTTCCTCGTATTTCCTCTCTCTCACTTAATTCCAAGAAACATCTCGCCAAAAGGAAAAATGTGTTGTTTAAAACTTACAAGCTGACTTCTCCTTTACTAGTCGCTTAATGTATGATCACAGCTCTTCTGACAGCTTTGTCAAAAACAAGAAGATGTTGTGTTTGGGCTTCATTAGCACATGGCAGGATGCCGGGCTTACAGTTAAACGCAATATTGTGAAGTGGTAATTCTGCTAACGCTTCGGGGGTGTTTCAGTGATCTGCTCATCACTTAAAGGAAACAGAGTCTGTGATTTTGTTTTCTAATGGGATCTAGAGAAGGTTGTCAATTACCTTTCAAAATAAGAGCGACACCCTGCATTTTAAGAGTTCAGGGGTTGGTGTCTCTTTTTTCCCTTTTAAAAACCAAAAGCACAAAGGCAAAAGTGTGCTAATGTAAGCTGTAATTGTTAGCATGTATGGCTAACAAGCTTACTTGCAGTCAGTTGCAGCTGACTAGCCCAGCAACTGTTGTATTTCTCATCTGTGTGGAAGCTGCTCCTGGTTATCACAGTTTATGCTAACATCAGTGGCTCCCTCCTGCTCCTCACTGAATTCATGGAAGATAACCCCAGCCAATGTTACCTGAGCACACATCTAGTCAATCTTTACAGAACTTCATTACAATTCTGCTTTGTCAATAAATTGCAGGCCATATTGCAGATTTGATAATATTTCGATTAATTGTGCAGCCCTACTTTAGCCTCAAAGCTTTTGCACAATAACATGTTTGTATCCATCAAGAGCATATTTAAGACCCTTTATATTATTCACCATGCATACACCAATTTATGGACCTAATGTTAGTTTGCTTAGCTAGTTAGCAATATGCGACAAAATCTATCTATCTTTGCCAGAAATCATAAAACCCTTGTTTCAAAAATTTCTATAAACCTTAAAGTTAAATCTGCCTCCATTATCATTGTAACAGATAGATTGAGGAGAAGGGTCTTAGGGTCTTAACATTCAAATACTCTAATGTTGTTGTGTGAAACCTTTAGAAATAGACAGAAACCGATAGTGATGGTTAGCTTCATATTCAAGGTGACATATTTTAGTTTTTAGTACTCTTTGGGAAAAAAACTTTGGTCGTTGGAGGTGGGTTGTTATGTAAAGGAAGCGCGCGTGCACACACACACACACGGCAAGGCAGTAATTGAACAGGCGTCGGCACAGTTTGGTGGCGACACCTGTTTGAAATTTATAATGAGCAGCCAGGGGAGAGGACCGCACACACAGTCAAATAAACACACACACAGTTGTCTGTGTCTTGGCTACGACTCTGTGCTGAGTTGCAGGTCAGAGAAAGGCTAAGAATAAACTGGCCCTGCTGAGCCTATCTCTCTCACACACACACACACAGTTCATTTTGCCTTTGACGTGTACACACAAATGCCCTCTGATTAACAGAGGGATCAAGAAGGGGGAAATTAATTCCTTCCTGCAGTAATGCGAGTCCAAACAGGTTCACAGTACAGGTTCACTGTGCTCTATATGTGTGACAGTGAATAAATTCCAACATATACTGACGATAACACAAATGCATATTCACATCATTCCCTCACTCCCTTTCTCCATCACTTCTGTCCTCAGTGCATTATTAAGTCGTGAATGAAGACATCCGTCTTTATCTTCCCCTCCTTCCATCTTTCCAAATTCATTTCTTCCACTTTCCATGCTTTAGGTCATTTGTACACCAAATTGATGGCAAGCTGATTTTCCCTATGATGTGGATGGCAGGGTGACCTCTTGGCTGCAGACAGCCTTAAATTAGAGGGAATCTGAAAGGGTACGCTGGAAATTTAATATTGCACTTCTATAAAAGTTAGGGGACTCACAAGAGACAGATTTTAAAAAGAATCATCAAAAATTAAAGCAACAGAGATTGAGATATCCGGACGCTTAGTCACTCGTATGGGTCAAGCTTAAAAATGGTCCTACAGTTCCCATAATTCAACAGGATAGGATCTTATGTTACATCCCCCCTGCCTGCCTGACCTCTGACCTCTGATGAAGGGAAGTGAGAGAAAGGGGAATTATATTTGCAGGATCAACATGGTATCACATTATTTTTCATGAATTAGAGCTCATGAAACTGAGCTTTTTCACTTCCTACTCCTCTCCTCCTGTCAGTTCAGCTCCAATGCCTTTTAGATTTTCCCCAAGAATTTTAAGCAGCACCTGGCTCACCCCTTCTTCATCCATCCCCCATATCCCTTGGTCCTCCCTCCTACTTTTACCAATTTACTCTTTTCCCAAACTGTTAAGGGAGCTCATTCCAACAGACAGGATAAATAAGAAAAGTGACAGGTTAATGTGGGGTTGCTTAAATGCAGGAAATAGACAAAAGGGGTAAACAAAACTATTACGCAGGTTGGAGAAAGAACTCTAGGAGGGAGGGACAAGGGAGAATAGAGGTAGGTGTGGACGGTGAGTTATGTCTGGGTTGTGATCCAGCTAAATTGCCTTGGCAGAAAGTCCTTTTTCTCTGAGTAAAGGGTTAGACAGAGATGAATGGATGGAGAAGATGAGGAGAGTAATAAATAAAGGGAGGAGGAAGAGGTGGTGAGAAGGGAGAAAGAAAAGAAGACAGGAAGTGAGAAAGAGAGGAGGAAGATAAAGGTGTCAGGTAGAGAGAGAGGAAGGCAATAAGCGGAGGAACATCGGGATGAAGAGTCTGACAGTGTAAATAAGTAAAGGTGAAAGGCAGAAGGGAGGAAGATGCAAATGAAGAGGAGTCGAAGGTGCGCAGCAGCGGGTGAAAAGGGAGGGAGGAGAGACATGAGATGACAGGGAGGTGAGGGTGGAGGGGAAGGTGAAGAAAAGCGGGAACGAAGGGGGTGGAGGAGAGGGGGAGGATGACAAAACTCACGCTGTGTGGAAGAAAATCTAAAAATATGGCAGACAGAAATATTTGGGATGGGAGGAAGGGGGGAGAGAAAGAAAGCCTGACAGAGATGCTAACAAGAAAGAAAGAAAATGGCTATACCGAAATAATCCAAGGTCAATGGAAAGCAGAAATTTAATGAGGTAAAGACAGAAAGAGGATGAGAGAAGAGAGAAGAGAGAGGAGGAAAAAGGGGGATGGAAGGAGGAAAGACCGAATAGAGCACAGCGGATAAAAGCAGGTTTACATTAGTGTAGAGGCAGGAGCTCAAAGGCACAATGATGAAAAGAGGAGAGAAAACTCACAGAGAGGGGTAGCAGGAAGAAAAGACATGAAAAAATAAAGAGGAGGAGAGATGTTATGAGAGAGCAGATCCTGTTTGCACAAGTTTTTTTTTTGTTCTGGTTTGTCCATCTACTTAGAAATCCCCAAAAGAGCAAAACAAACTGATTCAGATGAACTATGACAGATCAACTGTAATGCCAAAGAATCTCTGACATTAATATTGCAGACAAGGTACAATCATAATTAATCCAAGGAGACTTTTTTATTTTAAAATAAGTAGGCATAATGGAAAAATAGCACAAAATATGGCCCACTGGAGGAGATATGTTAAAAAACGCAGATCAGCAGTCATTTCTGTCATTGTGGCAAAAATGTGCTGAACTTCATTCGCCTAATGTGTTTTATTGCATCAAATTTATCTGTTTTAAAAGTATTTTAAATGTGTTGAATCCATTGTGTAACTACTAAAGAAACTTATTATTTTAGAACACTACTTTTTAGTGATTACATGTGTACTGCTTGATAAAAGTGACTTTAATGTCCTCATCAGAGTTAAAGGATCTACAGCTATTTCAACTTTCATTTCACATGAACACACACATGCAAAGTCTGCATTCTATTTCTTCTGGCCTGCTTTGAAAGCTTCAAACACACACGTTTGCTCACCTTTACCTTTGAGGACCCTCACTGACATCATGTATCCCCGAAGCCTTGATCACAACTACAGTACATACCTAACCCCACCCCTTCATCGTAACCTACATGTAATTTTAATCTCAACCCTGAAGCCAAAGTTAAAACGCCCACTCTCAGGGCCTTAAACTGAAATAGGTCCTTGCAAGGACAGAAGTACAAGAGCACGCACACACACACACACTCAGGTAGACACACACTCCATCTTCTTAGTCTTTCTCTGAGGGCAATCCACAGATGAACAGCTTTTGAATGGCCTTGCCAACATTTGCCCCCCCAGGCACACAACCACACACTTACAGTACACACACACACACACACACACACACACACGTACGTACATGTGGACAAAACAAAGCGAGTATTGTGGGTTGCAGCCACTAGAGAAGAGTCTCACACAGCTACGGGAAGTTAAGCCATGGTAACTGAGTTGGAATCTTGGCCTGTCTCTTTACACAATTAGTATGACAAAGATGTGTTACTCTGCGAGTGTGTGTGGGTGCCTTTGTACTCGTGTCCTTACAGGGAAAAGACAACATACTGCAAGAAAAGTACTCCAAAATTAAGATATCAAACCAATTGGGATTTCTTTGAGAAAATAATCTGGATTTGAGACTCAGAACATTTAAAAAAGAAGGTCAAGACTAAGTGCACAGTTACAGTTTGTATTAGCATTAGGTTTAGGGTAAATCTAGGGCTGAAATCAGTTTTATGACATTAATAAGGTCATTGCAGTTAATTGTGTTCCACTCAGAC